GTTATTGACTTGGCAAATGCCTTCTTCAGTGTTCCGCTGGACCCCTTCTGCATGTTATCTCTTTGCCTTTACCCATGCTGGCCGACAGTATACCTGGAGAGTTATGCCCCAAGGGGCCCAAAATTCGCCAAGCCAATTTACAAAGGCCATGACAACTATCCTCAGCACCTGGCAACAGTCACACCCGGAAGTCATAGTGCTCCAATATGTGGATGACTTGCTCCTATGTGCCACCAACCATTCTGAAGGGAAAATCGCCTCTCTGAGCCTCCTCCACCACCTGGCTGAACAGGGCTCTAAGGACAAGTTACAGTGGTGCCAAACTTCTGTCATTTTCTTGGGACATTGCATTTCCCAAGCCACTCGTCACCTCACACCGGATAGAGTACGGGCTATCCAGAATGTCCCAATACCTCAGGGACCAAAAACCCTGCATGCTTTTCTAGGGTTGGTTTCCTATTGTCGTTCTTGGATCCCAGAAGCTTCCATCTTGATGCAGTCCCTTTATGATGCCCTGAAATCTGAACCCTTTTCCCTGACAGAAGAAGCTGTACTTGATTTCCATCGCCTGAAAAAAGCCATCTCCACTGCACCTGCATTAGGTCTACCAGATTATGATGAGCCCTTCAAGCTTTTTGTGGCTGAGAGACAGGGTCATGCAACAGGAGTTCTGGCACAACGCCATGGGAGTCGCCTCCGGCCTCTGGGTTTTTACTCCTGCAGGCTAGACCCGGTTGCACGAGGTGGTCCCTCCTGTCTGAGGGCTGTTTTTGCTGCTCATCTTCTTCTGGATAAAACGGCAGATTTGGTCTTAGGACATCCACTCACACTTCTGGCCCCCATGACATTACCGCAATACTGAACCAAACCCAACCAAAACATCTATCTGCCGCCAGGCATCTGCGACTGCAAGGCTCCCTTCTTTTACCTGATCATGTCACCCTGGTCAGATGCACCCAGATAAACCCTGCAACTCTTCTCCCTCTTCCAGGGGGGGGGGGGTAGACGAAGCAGAAGAAGACACCAAAGACATGGCACCAGAGGAGATGTGGTACATGACTGTTTGGAACTTATGCAGGCAGAAACTACACACCTACCAACAGTCCATGATACGCCCCTATCAAATCCTGACCTAATACTTTTTGTGGATGGATCCCGCTTTGCAGATAATGCTGGCACCTACCACACTGGATATGCTGTGACTACCGACACAATGGTACTGCAAGCTAGACCTCTTCCACCTTTTATGTCTGCACAAGAGGCTGAACTAAGGGCCCTCACCAAAGCCTGTGAATTAACAAAAGGAAAGACAGCGAACATTTACACGGACTCCAGATATGCACTGGGGGTTGCACTTTATTTTGGCCTAATCTGGAAAATTAGGGGCTTTCTCACGGCAGCTGGGACTCCTGTAAAACATGGAAAGGCGATCAACCGCCTTATGGAAGCACTCTTACTACCAGCCCAAGTGGCCATACTGAAGGTGAAGGCCCACGGTAAATTGACCACTATGGAAGCAAAAGGAAATCATCTGGCAGACATGGCTGCTAAGCAAGCTGCGGTCAGGGAGCAGGAAGAGGATGAAGAGATGTGCAGTGAGGTGATGCCTGTGCTAATTCATCAGCCCAAGGACAACCAACTCCAGGAAGCCCAGGATAATGCTTCAGAAGAAGAAAGGAAGGAATGGATGCAGAAAGGAGCAGTTGAGGACAAAGGATTGTGGGTGGTGGGGAAGAAGGTTTTGCTTCCCAGATCCTTATATCCGGCAACAGTGCAGTGGGCACATGGAGCGTCACACCTGTCCAAGATGCTAATGAACTCTTTGATCAGTAAATACTACGTGGCACCCGGAATTACGGCTTACACAGACAGATTCTGTAAGTCTTGTGTTGTATGCGCCAAGTGCAATCCTGGAAGACCTGAGAAACTCCAAGCAAACATCTGGCCAGAGCACTATATCCATTTCAGAGGATCCAGATAGATCATATCCAGATGCCAAAAAGTGGACGATTTGAATATGCCCTAGTGGTGGTGGATATGTTCTCAGGATGGCCAGAGGCGTTCGCAGTAACCAACCAGACGGCAAGAACCACTGCCAAGAAGCTGCTCACGGAGATAGTCTGCAGATATGGAGTGCCCGAGGTGGTTGAAAGCGATCGGGGACCGGCTTTTACTGCCAATGTCACAAAAGAGATCTGGGAGGCTCTGGGGGTCACACATGCGTTTCACACACCCTATCATCCCCAGAGTAGTGGGAAGGTAGAGCGCCTAAATGGGGTCCTGAAGTCAAGAAATGTTAAAAATGGCCCAAGAGGTAGGCATGGAATGGCCGGACAGCTTGCCTATTGCTCTTTTCAGCATTAGATACACACCAAGGGGAAGTCATGGGTTGTCTCCCTATGAGATTTTGTTTGGGTCCGCCCCTAGACTGGGTACCTACTATCCTCAACAATTACAATTGCAGTCTGACTCATTGACAAAGTATGTGATATCTTTGACACGTGTGTTGACTAATATCCATGTACAAGTATTCTCCTCCATTCCAGATCCTGAGGCGGACATAGGAACACACACTTTACAACCTGGAGACTGGGTCTTGGTCAAAAAGTTTCTGCGAAAACATACATTGGAACCCAGATATGACGGTCCTTTCCAGGTGCTCCTGGTGACTGCCACTTCAGTGAAGTTGGAGGGAAAGTCCACCTGGATACACGCCTCACATTGCAAGAAGGCACCAGCTCCAGAGGATGAGGCCCTGTCCGTGTCACCCACACCACAATGATTGTGTTGCATATCCTTTTTTGGTGGAAATGGGAGGGGGCCAACAGGTGGCCATGACTCACAAGGGTGACTCCACCCAGGTTTGGTATAATTCATCCAACACACAAGTAGCAACATTTTTCTTCAATCATAGCATGTGCAAGAACACACCTGTCCCCATTGCCTCCACAATATATATATGTGTTACAGATAATTCTTGGGGAGCAGATTGTGGCTACTGGGGATCAGTGGGATGGAACACGAGACCGGTTTGGGGGTATAAGCCACAAAGTGCAGTAGAGCAGAAAGACCGGTATGGAAAATCTCTAATTTCCCGAATGACACTCACTTACCACCCCTAAGGTAGATAGGTGATCCACAAAAATGAACAAGCAATTCACTGTAGCCATTCCCCTTACTCTGACCATAGAGAGTCCGGGAGATCAGGGAACTTACCTTCTAGGGGTGTTATACCCCAGAGGTGGCACAATCCACCATTGTGAGTTCCAACTGAAAGATATATACCTTTCAAAAGAATGGTTGGCCCCCCTTAATCATTCTCTCCCTTCTCCCAATCCCCACGCCTCCATGCCATAATGCCATTGCACATCCTCTCAGATCCATTACTTAAGGTGCCTCCCAAACCCCCCCATGCAACCAAGCACAAACGAAGTGCCCCGCAAGGGAGTTTTGACCCCCATGTCTATATAGATGCGATAGGAGTCCCAAGGGGGGTACCCGATGAATTCAAGGCCAGAGACCAGGTGGCCGCGGGATTTGAATCCCTATTCCTCTTCATCACTGAGAACAAGAATGTAGATTGTATAAACTACATCTACTATAATCAACAACGATTTGTAAACTACACACGAGATGCCTTAAAGGGGATAGCAGAGCAGTTGGAGGCTACTTCTAACATGGTCTTTCAAAATCGTATGACACTTGATATGTTATTAGCTGAAAAAGGGGGGGGTCTGTAAAATGATACCAAAGACCATGACCTGCTGTACGTATATCCCAGATAACACAGGCCCAAATGGGAAGGTGACACTGGCCATCAAGAGGTTGGAGGACCTGTCAAATGAGCTTAAGGAAAACTCAGGTATTACACATCCCTGGATCAGTGGTTGGATGGCTGAGTGGCTGGCAGAAAGCCCTCGCCCACGCAGGGGTGGTTATCCTGGGTATTATCATTCTAATGGCAATAGTCGCCTGCTGTGTGATCCCTTGCATTAAGAGGCTAATAGGGAAAGCTGTGAACGAGATCACCCCTACATTCCTGAACTATAACAATGTTGAACTCCCCCGTGAAGAAAAGGAATCCTATACTCCCTTACAGACCATGGCCCCTGATCATCATATTTCAGACTTATAAAAAAAAAAAAAAAGGGGAATGCTACAAATTTCCCCCCCTAACAGACAACTATAAGCAGGGAAAGACAGTGCCTGACTGTGGCCTTCTCAGGACGTATCGAGACTCTAGGGATGGATTAGCCACTCAGGGGCTCTATATGCATCTTAAAAGAGTTCCAGAGGGAGGGCCACCAGGCAGTTAGGACATCAGAAGATATAGGGACAGTCAGGAATAAAATAGCCATTTTAAGGGGGGATTGTAGTGGATTGTGATTGACAGTCCACGTTTTATTAGATGATCAGTAAAATGACAATTTTATAGTCTTGCTACATTCTGTTTCTTGCTCTTTAAATTCCTTACTCTCTTAAGTAAACAATCAGATATAGGTTGACAGAACAATGATGATAATTAAGATGGCGCCTTCATCCGGAGTCTCGCCCTTGGTGACTCATTAGGAGAAAAGTATCTTTTAATGTAAACAACCCCCATAAAAGGGAATGAGTCTCTTTGCGACAATGATTGGAAGATATCAACACGGATGGAAGGACACGCAGAAACCCAGTGGACTTTTCACCCAATCAATGTATATGCTTTGCCTGCATCATATGCCCTATAAATGATACTGTTAGTTCCTCAATAAAACAGAATTTTAGGAAGTTGGCAAACTGCGAAGTGTCAGTGTCTTACTTCCACGTGCACGTATTCTCATATTAATTTGGCTCACTGGTAGATCACGGTAAATGGTCTGTAAGTGACCTAGTCCAAGACAGTGTGTCTGAGTGTGTATGTATGTGTGTGTGTGCCTGAGTGTGTGTGTTTCAGAGTGTATGTGTGTGCATGTGTCTGAGTGTGTGTGTGTCTCAGTGTCTGCATGTATGTGTCTGAGTGTGTGTGTATGTGTCTTTAGTGTGTGTATATGTGTTTTTGAGTGTGTGTGTGTCTATGTATCTGTGTGCGTGTGTGTCTGTGTATGCATCTGAGTGTGTCTGTGTGTATGTGCCTGAGAGTGTGTGTGTATATGTGTCTGAGTGTGTATCTGTGTGTGTGTGTGTATGTGTCTGAGTGAGTGTGTATGTGTGTGTGTCTATGTGTCTGAGTGTGTGTCTGAGTGTGTATCTGTGTCTGAGTGTGTATGTATGTCTGTGTATGTGTGTGTGTGACTGTGCGTGTCTGTGTGTGAGTCTGTGTGTGAGTGTATGTATGTCTGTTTCTGAGTTAGTGTGTATGTGTGTCTGTGTCTTGAGTGTGTGTCCGTGTCTGAGTGTGTGTCTGTGTGTGTGTGTGTGTGTCTGTGTATATATGTGTGTGTCTCTGAGTGTGTGTATGTGTCTGAGTGTGTGTGTATGTGTCTGAGTGTTTGTGTGTGTTTCTGAGTGTGTGTGTCTGAGTTTGTGTGTATTTCTACATGCATGTGTGTGTATCTAAGTGTGTGTGTCTGTGTATATATGTGTCTGAGTGTGTGTGTCTGTGTGTGTGTCTGAGTGTGTTTGTATGTATCTGAGTGTGTGTGTGCGTGTATCTGAGTGTGTGTGCATGTATATGAGTTTGTGTCTGAGTGTGTGTATGTGATTCTGAGTGTATGTGTATGTGTCTGAGTGAGTGTGTGTGTGTGTGTTTGTGTGCCTGAGTGTCTGTGTATGTATCTGATTGTGTGTGTCTGTGGTATATATATATATATATATATGTCTGTGTGTTTCTGAGTGTGTGTGTGCGTATGTATATGAGTGTGTGCATATGTGTCTGAGTGTGTGTGTCTGAGTATGTGTGTGTGTGTATGTCTGAGTGTGTGTATCTGAGTGTTTGTATGTGTCTGAGTGTGTGTGTGTATGTGTCTAAGTGTGTTTGTGTGTACATGTGTCTGAGTGTGTGTGTATGTGCCTGAGTGTGTGCGTGTGTATGTATCTGTGTGTGTCTGAGTGTGTATGTGTCCTAGTGTGTGTATATGTTTGTTTGCCTGAGTGTGTGTGTATATATCTGAATGTGTGAGTGTGTGTCCGAGTGTGTGTCTGAGTGTGTGTGTGTTTTTCTGTGTGTGTATGTGTCTGAGTGTCTGTGTATGTGTCTGAGTGTGTGTGTTCGTGTGCACCCCTCAACCCTGCACTGCATACATAGCACACCCTCAATCCTGCACTGCATACACAATACAACTCCATACACAGTGCCCCCTCACCCTGCACTTCATACAGAGTGAACCCCTCAACCCTGCAGTCTGTATGTAGTGCCCCTTCAACCGTGCACTCTTTATGTACCCTGGCAGTCCATCCTGGGAGATGCTTCTCACATTGGGCCCTGTTCCTACTAGCACTCAGTCAACCTTCATAGTTGTGTATTCCCTGCTATGCTCATTGCTAATAACACATAGTTACATAGTTAATCTGGCTGAAAAAAGACAAAGGTCCATCCAGTTCAACCATAAAAAAAAAGTTATAATCGTATACCTTACAGTTGATCCAGGGGAAGGCAAAAAAACCCCAGCAAAGCATGATCCAATTTGCTCCTGCTGGGAAAAACATTCCTTCCTGATCCCCCGAGAGGCAATCGGATATTCCCTGGATCAACATTACCTATAAATGTTAGTATCCAGTTATATTCTGTGTATCTAAGAAAGAATCCAGGCCTTTTTTGAAGCAATCCACTGAGCTGGCCAGAACCAACTCTTGAGGGAGTCTATTCCACATTTTCACAGCTCTCACTGTGAAGAAACCTTTCTGTTGTTTGGAGATTAAATCTCTTTTCCTCCAGACGTAAAGAGTGCCCCCTTGTCCTCTGTGATGACCTCAGGGTGAATAACTCTACACCAAGTTCACTATATGAACCACTGATGTATTTATACTGTACATGTTGATCATATCCCCCCTTAATCTCCTCTTCTCAAGACAGAATAAATTCAGTTCCTCTAATCTTTCCTCATAGCTGAGCTCCTCAATGCCTCGTATCAGTTTGGTTGCCCTTTTCTATACTTTCTCAAGTTCTTTTTGTGAATTGGTGCCCAAAACTGAACTGCATATTCCAGATGAGGTCTTACTAATCATTTGATTAGGGGTAATATGATATCTCTCTCTCTGGAGTCTATACCTCTTTTAATACAAGAGAGGATTTTGCTCGCTTTAGAAACTGCAGCTTGGCATTGCATGCCATTATTAAGCTTGTGATCTACCAGAACTCCCAGATCCTTCTCCACCTTTGATTCCCTCAGTTGTACTCCCCCTAGTATGTATGATGCATTCATATTCTTAGCCCCCAAGTGCATAACCTTACATTTATCAACATTAAACCTCATTTGCCACATAGTTGCCCAATTAAACAGTGCATTGAGGTCGGCTTGTAAATTGAAGACATTCTGTAAGGACGTTATTAGAATTTTCTGTCTATTGGTGGGTCTTGTCCCCTCCACAGTCTGTGGTGTGCAGGAAGGGATTGTGTACTGTAACCTCTAGCAATCAATCAGTGAGCTGTAATGATGTGCAGTAACCTCTAGCAATCAATTAGTGAGCAGTAATAATGTGCAATAACCTCTAGCAACCAGTTTGCAGTAATGAAGTGCAGTAACCTCTAGCAACCAATCAGTAAGTGGTAATGTTGTGTAGTAACATCTAAGAATCAATGGGTGAGCGGTAAGGATGTGAAGTACCCTCTAGCAATAAATCAGTGCGCAGTAATGATGTGCAATAACCTCTAACAACCAATCAGCAAGCAGAAATGATGTGTTGTAAGCTTTAGCAACTGATCAGTGAACCGTAATGCATGCTGTAACCTCTAGGGATCAGTGAGTAGTAATGATATGCTGTAACTTGTGGCAACCAATTGCTGCCTGATCTGCTGCAGTAAACTGATTTTGAGTCTAGCTGCTATTTACTGTATGCCTCAGAGTGAGGGGTTGGAGGCTAGCGGAGCCCAAAAAAAGTTTGCTCTGGGTCCAATCAATATTAAAGACGGATATAAAGAATTGAAATCTCAGGATTGCCAAAGACCACAGATGATAATTAGACCCACAAAAGCAATCCGACAACTAGAAGATGTCTTTCTAGCTACTTTTGTATATTACCAATCTAAACTTAGGTTGTGTAGGTGTTGCATATTTAATGTAAAGTGGCAGGAGGGGAATATAAGGACAAATGAACTCTGTTACTGTACCAGCTTTTCCTGGGGCAACAACAGCAATCAATGTTTTCAGACCTAGCTGATCAACCTCTGTCCCTATGGGCCAGAGGGCTCTTATTGGTCCTAGATGCTTCTCTACACTCCTACATCCCACAAATGTGTTGTGGTAAAGGGTTCTTTTGGGGACCATATTAGTTTACTGCACGTCAGCCACTCTGAGGCTAGGGAATAAAGTAAAGCTGAACTCCAGGGAGATATAAAGGACAACATTATTGCAGCTCTGTATTTATTAATACATTGTTAACCACTTGCCGCCCAGCCACCGCATATAAACGGTGGCAGGGCGGCACTCGTAGGCAAAAGCACGTTCTAAAAACGGGCTGCCTTCAAAACAGGTAGGGGGCGCGCACGAGGCGCGCGCGCCCGCCCTACCTGTCCCGCGGGTGTCAGCAGCGGGTGTCAGCCGCCGAGTCACGGCCGGTTTTTACCGGCCGTTTTCCCGCGATTGACAGTGATCGCTGACACAGGGCAAGGCTGCATTGTTTACACACGGCCCTGTTCTGTGTCATTTCTCTGACAGCTTGTGAGAAGCTGCAGTTTCTCTCTCTCGATCAGCTCCCCCCTCCCTCCCCCCGTCCAGTACACGCCCCCCCTAGTAAAACACTCCCCTTACACAGCAAATTCTAAAAATGTTAACCCCTTCCTCCCCAGTGACATTAGTACAGTTTCAGTGGTTTTTTTTCACTGATCACTGTATTGGTGTCACTGGGGATGTCAGTGACCCCAAGTCAGTTCCCCCCCAGTGTCAAAATGTCCGCTGCAGTCCCGCAGTCCTGCCATAAGTCGCTGGTCGCCGCCATATGTCGCTGATTGCCGCCATATGTCGCTGATCGGCGCCATTATTAGTATAAATAAAAATTACAGTATCTTTCCCGCCATTTGTAAGCGCTATAACTTTCACGTAAACCAATTAATTTACACGTATTGGGATTTTTTTTAGCAAAGACCTGTCGCAGAATGCATTTTGGCAGAAATTTATGACTAAATTTGATTTTTGCATTTTTTTTTTACTGGACATGTTTTATAGCAAAAAGTCCAAAATATTGTTTTTTTTTTCCCTCAAAATTGTCAGCCTTTTTTTTATAGCGCAAAAAAATAAAAAACCGCACAGGCGATAAAATACCACCGAAAGAAAGCTCAATTTGTGGGGAAAAAAGGATGTAAATTTCATTTATGTACCGTATTGCATGACCGCACAATTGTCAATTAAACTAGCGCAGTGCTGTATAGCAGAAAAATGGCGTAAATTGCAGTATCTATACCATAGTTTGTAGACGCTATAAACTTTCACACAAAGCAATCAATATACACTTATTGGGATTTTTTTTACCAGAAACATGTAGCGGAATACATTTTGGCTTAAATTTATAACCAACTTTGAGTTTACTATATATTTTTTATAGCTGAAAGTAAAAAATATTGTTTTTCTTCAAAATGTTTGGCCTTTTTTTTTGTTTATAGCGTGAAAAATAAAAAGCGCACAGGTGATCAAATTACACCGAAAAGAAAGCTCTATTTTTGTGGAAAAAAAGGACGTAAATTTTGTTTAGGTGCAGTATTGCATGACCGCGCAATTATCAGTTGAATTAGTGCAGCGCCGAGTAGCAAAAAGAGGCCTGGTCATTAAGGGGGGTAAATCCTCAGGAGCTCAAGTGGTTAAATGTAATTTAGTGCTACCCTGGTAGGAACCGCTGGATAGGATGGGTCCCCTGTTCTTTGCTTTGACCTTGTCCAAAAAACCTCAACTCCTCTAGCACACCAATTTGAGTGTACAAACATACAATATTACAGGAAATCACTGAAGGTAACACTTAGTACCCAGTAGTAGCACTATAAAAAAAAAAAAAAAAGGCACCAAACCAGGTAGTAGAAGCAAATACACTTAATATGAATGGAAACTATGCAAGCAAAAATTATTTAACAATGCTAATTACACAAGTTAGCATGCAAAATGATTAACCTCCCCTAGCGCTATGATTATTTCCGATTTTTGGTGCTGAAAGCGGTTTTATGGTACCATTTTTTTGCATGGAAATATGTAATTTTTTATTGTAGGCTGTAACTTTTAGGAATAAAATACAAAAAAATTAGCACTCACTTCCTCTACCAAAACCCCAATAGATTGCTTAACATTCCTTCCCCTGAAGTACAAACATAACAATAATAATAAGAAAACTTATATAAGTAAATACCCAAAAACTATGTGAAGTTCCATACACCTAAGTCCAAAGTAAAGTTCAAATGTCCAAAATGTTTGCAAGTGATCTCTCAATTAATCTTTATCCCCGGGTAAAATTGGTGATATACTCCAGAAAATCTTCAGAATACCTCAAAGAAAAAAATCTCAACATAGTATATTACCCCAAAATTTTGAGATAAAGTGCCACACGTGTCACATGCAAAAACCAAAACCAAAAAAGTGTCACAGCAATCGTGAAATTATCAAAACTAATAATACAATTAGTAACTCCACTGCACACAATATAAAGAGTGCATAATTACCCCAACATAGATAAAATCAGCATAGAATCCAAAATACAGATGAGAATGTCTCCACACATAGTTCAATTGTCTTCTCCAGCCATTGCCCACAGACCTCACAAACAGACCAGGGATCAGTATGTGCATTAAAATTTAAACATACTTTATTATAGCAACTTACATTCAAATTAGATGAGAACTGCTTCCGTATAGTGAGACAATCCAAAAGGAGCCTCACTCCTTAGCGGTAACTCTTTTTAGAAACCCCTTATTGCTCAGAGAGAGACAGGCAACCATGGGAGTCTCCAGGGTTGGAACAGCCACGTGTTTCAGAATCCAAAATGGCTGCCACGGCACTTCCGGAAAAAACGTCAATGCGTCACCACGTCACGTGCCCCGGACGCGTTTCGTCACATCCGGACTTTTTCAACAGGGATTAAAAAGTCCCTGTTTGTTATGGTCTGTTTGTGAGGTCTGTGGGCAATGGCTGGAGGAGATGGCCGGGGACGCTGCAGGGGACACATCGCGGGAGCGAAGGACAAGGTAAGCACTGCAGGGACTCCCTGAGCAACGTCGCATGGTAAGCCGGAGTGTAGCTCAGGGTTACCGCTCTTGGTACTGAAATTTTACCCCGAGCTACACTTAGGAATACCACCAGGGAGGTTAAAAAACAGGGACTAGGCATACCATGACACTTGAAATCCAGATCAGCATAAATAGTAGCAAGGCCACCTCAGGTACAGCAGTGAGCGTTAGTAAGGTTTGGTCTAACTAGTGCTGGCACTGTACTGCCAGAGTGCATTAATGGCGGCAATGCTAGCTCTGGACCAAATGGGTATGCACTGTTCAAAAGAAAAAGAGGATGGTAGCTGTCATGGTCCCCCCCCCCTCGCTCCCTCTCTTCCCCCCTCTCAGGATTCCTGAACCCCCCTTCCCCATTGTATGTCCCCGTGCCTGCACATAGCTCACATACAGTGGTGTGCTGGGCGCCAGGGAGCTGCCTCCTGCAGCGAGTCCTCATATCTTTGCCGCCCCACTGTGCCTGCATGTGGATTCTCCACATGCAGGCCACCTAGATGTCCCTCTCCGTGTCTCGGCAGGCACAGCATGGCCCGAGGTTCCCATGCTCTGCACCAGCCGAAGACAAAGGACGCACTCCCTGTGAGCAGCCAGAGTGAGGGGCAGGGCTTGTTGCCACAGCAACCCGACGCCAGGACGGCCATTGCCTGGCAACCTGGGAGCGTCCTGCTCTGGCAATAAAAGACCGGAGAGAAGGACCCGAGCAGGGAAATCTTTCCCTGTTCGTAACCCAGGGTGCCTTTGAGAGGTCTTGTGCTGAAGCCAGACCCTACAGCCAAGCAGACTGCTCTTCTGCTGTGTGCCCAGACTTAACCCATTGCCTGCCAGCCTGCCCTTCTGCTCTGTGCCCGGACTTAACCCATTGCCTGCCTGCCAGCCTGTCCTTCTGCTGTGTGCCTGGACTTAACCCATTGCCTGCCAGTCTGCCCTTCTGCTGTGTGCCCAGATTAACCCATTGCCTGCCAGTCTGCCTTTTGCTGTGTGCCCCGGACTTAACCTATTGCCTGCCAGCCTACCCTTCTGTTGTGTGCCCCCTGGACTTAATCTTTGCCTGCCAGAACTGCCTTCTGCTGTGTGCCCCCTGGACTTAATATTTGCCTGCCAGAACTGCCCTTCTGCGGTGTGCCCCTAGACTTAATCGTTGCCGGCCAGAACTGCTTTCTGCTGTATGCCCCCTGGACTTAATCTTTGCCTGCCAGAACTGCCCCTCTGATGTGTGCCCCCTGGACTTAACCCTTGCTATACCTATCAAGTGCCCTCCAAATAACTCAATAACAGCCTTGTGGGCCCAACTGCTCTCCGCGTGTGCTCTGTCCCACCTACACCTGCGTCACATTAGCGTAAACAGAAAGGAACAAAGGGAACTTGTAGAAAAATTATTACGGGAGGAGCAATCCTTTGAGATGTTACTGGCTATTATTGGGGCACTTTAAATGCATCAGTACACTGAACGACAGTCCAGGCACAATCTCAGCACAGGTGTAAAGAAGATGTGGTTCAGTTGGGGTAAATGTTCTATATAACTGTATAGAATCCAACACCAGGATAAACCCCAGACACCAATTCTTTAGCTCGATAAATAAATATATAAAAATTAATAAATTCATCCACATGACACAAGATCCCTGATTACTAAGATATTACTTCCTCCCCAGGAATCCAAGAAATAAACTGTTGCTCAGCGTCCAAATTTGATCAGAAAGTCCTTAGACCCATATTAAAGAATGCACATGGCAAGTTCTTATTTTTCCTGGATTTTCACCATAGGTCTTTAAGTACTCAGTTCCTATATCTCCAAGACGATGTGGTCCTCTTCCTCTTTGCCCCTCAAAAATATTTTTATCAACCGCACAGTGCATTATCTCTTTTGCATATAATAAATCAAAATTAAATTACACTCATACAGAAGTGCTCAAAAAGTGCCAAAGCTTCAACAAATGCCACCATACTATCTCTGTAATTCCTACTCTTACCCTCTAGTCAAAATGTATTGCTTTATAAAGGGAGATCAATCCCGTGAGTTCCTCCTTAGATGCTTCCTCTTCTGTGTGAGTGTAATTTAAGTTTGATTTATTATATGTGAAAGAGATAATGCACTATGTGTGGTTTCTAAAAAAAATTTTGAGGGGTAAAGAGGAAGAGGACCACATCGTTTTGGAGATATAGGAACTGAGCATTTAAAGACTCATAGTGAAAATCCAGGAAAATAAGAACTTACCATATTAATTTATAACGTGGGTCTAAGGACTTTCTGATCAAATTTGGACACTGTGCAACACTTTATTTAAATGTTCTATATACTGTGGTATAGGGTTGGTAAAGGTGTAGTCTTGAATAATAATACTAATACTAATAATAAGTGCAGTATGGGTATGGTATGCAGCAGCAGTGCAGGTGCTGTGAGGTGGGCAGTTCTGTGCTAACCCCGGGTGTCCTCACTCCCAATCTCAGGCATGGATCTCCACTGGTCTCCTGTTGGCAGGCAAATATCCAGACTGAGGTGCTCTCTTTCACTCTCTCAGTGCCAAAAGGAAGAACTTTCCTGGGCAGTATAATAAAAATCATCTCTCCACTTCTACTGCACGGTGCCTACTGGGATCTGTAGTGTAAGGATTCTATTTTACCTATTGTATGGCTGTCGTCTCAAACTAAAACTCCCAGGATTCTCTGTGCTCTGCATAGATGTTTATGGACTTTCTTGTCTTTAGCTCTCCCCCTGCTGGCTGGAGGAGAATGGTAAAGCATAACATCAGTATCTCATAAGAAGGAGAGAAAAAATAAAAGGCAATGTCTCCTTCTCCATATTGCTGCAGTCCAGAACCCGGCTACGGTATTTTTTAAATGCAAGCACTGTACGTACCTCAGTTTGACCTGGTATAAGCCTCTTACAATTCATGCACAGCAGAGTTCAGCTTAGAAATAAGACCAAAGCAGCACAAGGAGCTGGTCAGGTGTGCTGTAGTGCTCATGCACTCATAGTGGTAGGAGAGGAACGTAGAATGACAGGGAGATGAGCTTATTTGTGTGCTGCTTCTCCTTTAAATATCCAATCACAAGCTGGGAGATGGCTAATACCTGTAAGCAGGGGTGGACTGACCATTTGGAAACTCGGGCACTGCCCAAGGGCCCGGGGTCAGTAGGGGGCCCCATGAGATGCCCCTGGTACCATTTTCATAGGCTTTTTTGAGTTTGGGCAAGGACACAGGGGCCCCATGATCCCCTATTGCCCGGGGGCCCCATGGGTTGTCAGTCCGCCCCTGCCTGTAAGTGTCATCTGCAGCAGAGAAAAATCTGGTCACTTGCCCTGGAGAGGGCTGTGCTATTTGGCTGTGTACATTTCTAAACTAGTTATACAGGAATAAAGCTCCTCTGGCAAATAGAATAGTTCCCATATTTGTATTTTATCTGTGTATTTAAAGGTTTGCCTGGAGCTCAATTTCAGGTTCTCTATTCAACTATATGGATGGAGCCCAACACTCGAGTTGAAACTCTTCACCCCTGTGTTGTTTAACTACTTGCCTACTGGGCACTTTCACCCCCTCCCTGACCAAGCCAATTTTCAGCTTGCAGTGCTGTCACAAGTTGAATGACAATTGCGTGGTCATGCAACACTTATGTTATACCCATATGATATTTTTATCTTTTTTTTTCACCACTTTGTGGGTGGGGGGGGGGGGGGGGGGGGTCACTATAAATGAAAAACGAGCAAACATTTTTGAAAAAAAAAAAGTTTTCTTTGTTTCTATCATAAAATGTTACAAACAGGTACTTTGTCTCCTTCACTGATGTGCGTTGATGAGGCTGCACTGATAGGCAGAAATGATGGGCATTGATGAGGTGGCACTGATAGGCAACACTGATGGGCACTGATGGGGCAGCACTGATGAGGTGGCACTGGTGGGCATTGATGAGAAGGCACTGATGCTGCTGCACTACTGTGCAGCACTGATGGGCACTGAAGAGTACTAATAGGTAGCACTGAAGGGCACTGACTGGCAGCACTGACTGATGGCACTGACTGGTGGCACTGATTGGTGGCACTGCTGGAAAGCACTGTTGGGCACTAATGGGCAGCACTGCTGTGCAGCACTGTTGGGCACTGATGGGCAGCACTGTTGGGCACTTTTCAGTGCCCAACAGTGCCCTGAATATCAGTGCCCTGAATATCAGTGCAGATGTCTGCTTTGACAGTTGCTGGTTACCGGCAGTACTTTCCGCACTTTGACAGCTTGAGGAAAATACTGCCGATAAATGGCAAGTGTATTTACATAGTGGCCAACTGTGATTGGACACAGCTGATCACATGGCAAAAGGCCGCTGTGACTGGCCTTTTACCATTCGTGTGATCAGCTGTGTCAAAGGACACAGCTCTCACATACAGTGTCGGGTGCGTGCTGCTGGGGGCGTTCTGGGAGGGACGTCATATGATGCCCTCCGAGAACTGGACGACCGCGCTGTAGCCGTCATTCGGCTATAGCACAGTAGTAAAGTGGTTAATATTGCATTGGCTAATAATTAAAAATGCTGTAAATGCAATATTTGTGATTGTAAAGTGCTGCAATAATAAACTACAAGGGAACAAAGAGACTCAACCTATAGTTCACAGCCTCAACCCACTTCACAACTCCATAAAAAATAAATAGCAAAAGTATTGCACTTCACAGACCTTGAATCTACTGGTTACGGGTCTATTTAACTATATGTTGTTTTATCTATGCTATACTATGTATTGTGGCATGTTCAAGTACAATTTTTTAAGGATGGAATCCAGTGAATAACTTTATTTAGAAATTGCTATTGGAACAATGGCTGTCCAGTTTTGCTTGGTTGCCACTTCAAACATTTCCATGTCACATTTTTTTCTAACAAAGGATGTCATGAACACAGAGATGACAAGGAGTGTATACTGTCCAAAATGAAATTAATGTATTTGTATACAATTAAGTAGACTAAAGACTGGCAAGTCTTCTTTGGGGATCTTCTAACCATCTTTTCAAGTCTTTGAGCACCTTTAGCTGGTTAAGTTCTGTGAATGGCTATCCTAAATTCCAAGTGACTTTGATCAGAACATATAGCAGAAATAGGTAGGAAACTATTAAGAAAGAAAAACAAATTGGAAGTAATTGAAAGAAACCAGTTACATTACATACTATACATTTTATTATTTATAGTGTAGAAAGATTTTTTTTTTTTTTACTGTTCACAAAAATGTGAATGTAGGCAAAGCTGGTGAAATTGCATATTACTGATGATTAACATAAAAGAAGTGAGAAAAACAACACTCCATGAACTCCAGGATAAGCAAATTCTTTCAAATAAAAGGAGTCATGTGTATTCTTACTTTGTGTCTTAATGTGCTTTGCATATCTAATTCCACATCTATGTAGTAATCCAATGTGAAATTTTCCCCTGTTGAAAAGAACGACCACTGCCGCTCTTTCCTTGTGTGGGGTGCCTGGTCTTCACCCACCAATGTAGTTTTCTACAGACAGCCTGTGTTTGAATTAAAGTGTTTGTGCCTGGAATTCTTTAAAGTCCATTGAGCAGTATTGCAGCTAAATTGTAAGACTTGAAATATATGCGAACTCTCACCTTGTAAAACAACCCTTTTAATTTAAAATAGAAATGAACGGTTAAAACATTTGTGTATACATTTAAAAGGAAAAACATTATAAATACTATTTTTATTCCCCTGATCACATGCCCTCTGTTCTCAGCTGCATAAGGAGCTCAGGGAGAGGAAACAGCAGCACACTGATACTCTAAGTGAATGGCTGTGCGGGGTGGGCATGTCAGCACATGCCTGATCATTGGATTTGCCCGCAACAAAGCCAGAAAACTGACCACGCTGTGCTCTCAGGCCTAGTGTGGTCAGTTTTAATAGGAAAGCAGAGGGACTGGCAGGAACACCAGAGATATCACACAAAGGAAGCAATACGTAGTGCAGTAGGCACATATCAGGAGTATGAAATGTTAGGTTTACATATTATTTAACTATACTACTTTCCTGTCATGATATTATTAAGTAAATCATTTTTGGGGGGAGCATGACATATGTGCATAAAATAGTTAAATACTGCTATGTATCTATATTTATTTTATTTATTACAGGTACTTATATAGCACCGTCAATTTTACACAGCACTTTACACACACACACACACATATACACATATATATATATATATATATATATATATATATGTGTGTGTGTGTGGTGACGTCAACGCTAGCTCTGCTCAATTGTTTACATTTGACCAGCAAATTGTAGATGCTTTTTTTTTTAAAAATGTTGTGCGGTATCTTAACGCATACTTGGATGCAGCAAGATACCACTTAGTGAATTGTCCCCTGAGTTTGAAGTTCGATCAAACTTTCCTTAGGTTTGAATGTTCGACCGCGAACTGAACAAGGGGGTGTTCGGCTCATCACTAGCCCCTAGTACTGATGACAGGCAGAAGTGCTAACCATTTAGTCACTGCAGTGCTGTATTCTATGCCTATCTGAAGTAGTTAAGATGGCATAGAAATGGCAAACTATGTTTCCCCTATTACCTTTCCTCATCTTTGTAACCACATGGAAATCTACAAAACATACCTCAGAACACAGTAGGTTAGCTTACCCTGTTCTCAGCACCCGTGTCCCTAGCCCATGAAGTGGACTTTTCTACTCTACACTACAACTTCTTGATGCATGCAGCTCTTCATTCACCGCCAAAAACATAGTTACATAGTTAGTCTGGCTGAAAAAAGACAAAAGTCCATCCAGTTCAACCATGCAAAAAAAAAAAAAAAAAGGTTATAATCCTATACCCACAGTTGATCCAGAGGAAGGCAAAAAACCCAGCAAAGCATGAAACAATTTGCTCCTGCAGGGGAAAAAATTCCTTCCTGATCCCCTGAAAGGCAATTGGATATTCCCTGGATCAATGTTACCTATAAATGTTAGTAACCAGTTATATTCTGTGTATCCAATAAAGAATCCAGGCCTTTTTTAAAGTAAACCACTGAGCTGGCCAGAACCAACTCTTGAGGGAGTCTATTCCACATTTTCACAGCTCTTACTGTGAAGAAACCTTTCCATATTTGGAGATTACATTTATTTTCCTCCAGGTGTAAAGAGAGCCCCCTTGTCCTCTGTGATGACCTCAGGGTGAATAACTCTACCTCGAGTTCACTATATGAACCACTGATGTATTTATACATGTTAATGATATCCCCCCTTAATCTCCTCTTCTCAAGAGAGAATAAATTCAGTTCCTCCAATCTTTCCTCATGTACAAATCCATTTGCAATTACAATATTTTAACTTACTTACATGTAATATAATTTTACTACCTCGTCTAGTGAGGTATTGATGACATAGCCAGGCTCTCTGTCACATATCTATCTGTGGAGCCTGAGATGACAAGGATCACCTCTTGCACAATTACAATGCAATCACCCCTGACAATGAAGTCAAGGACTGCTAGGGCAGCAGAAAGAAGTGGGTGCCAGGAAGTTGGTTCTATGAATGTGAACGTGAAGATGCTGAGGACGGATGAGCAAAAGTGAGGAGTCAGGTCACAAGCCAAATTTGGCAACAGTCAAGCAGGTAAGTATAGAATTACAATCAAAATCCAGACAGTTCAGGGGTTGGCATCATACTGGCAGCGATGTGCAAAATCAGCAGGCAGAATCTCAGTCAAAAGTCCAGGATCAGTAACAGACAAGGGGGATACAAAGAGGAGTGTCAGACATAGCCTGGTCAGTAGAAGATCAGCAGCTTTTCAGAAGTGCAGAGCACAGGGAACAGAGCTGATGAAAATCCAGCAATGAGGCTAGGCAGACCTCAGGTTTAAATAGGCCACCGGGTGCCAGGATCTATGGGTGCAGCCTTGTTTGAGTGTGCACACGCACATTCTTGTTCTTCCACATCTTGTTAAACAGCTATGCTCTCAGGTACGTGCATGTCCCTGTACAGGTCCATGAAAATGGGCACTTGCTACGCAAAGTTCCAGACAGTCTCACAGACACCCTGGGAAGACTATGTCATCAATACCTTCAAGAGAGACCTATTCTTTACTCTGTGAGATCTCACAAGATCTTAGTGTTACTGCGCATGTGTGAGATCAGGCACATGGCTTGTGCACCTCATCTTGCACATGCTTCATGTGACATTATACTCAGATAATATTACATGAAGCATATTTCACTACTATTACACAGCAGATAAGTCTGTGTTGCAGAGCCTGTATGAGAGATGAGGTGCAAACATAATTGGTGGGCCTGCAGAGAAGAAGAAAGAAGAAGGTCTGCTTTAAGGTAACATAAAACTAAGGTGGTTTGACTTTTTTTTGCTTAATCATATATTGTTTCTCAAAAAGCTTTAACAGATCAACTGAGATATAGACTGAAGAGAGAGAGAGAGACATAATTTTACCCCTGTACAAATCATTAGTAAAACCTCATCCAGAATATTCAGTTCAGTTTTGGGCACCAACTCACAAAGATGATATTGAGGAACTGGAGAAAGTGCACAGAAAGGCAGTCAAACTGGTAAGAGGCATGGAGGAGCTCAGCTATGAGAAAAGATCAGAGGAACTGAGTGTATTCTCTCTTGAAAAGAGGAGATTAAGGAGGATTTGATCATGTATATGTATAAATACATAAGTGGTCCATATAGTGAACTTAGTGATGAGTTTTTCACTATAAGGTTTTCACAGAAGACAAGGGGGCACTCTTTTTGTCTGGAGGAAAAAATATTTAATCTCTAAATATGGAAAGGTTTATTCACAGTACGATCTGTTATAATGTGGAATAGACTCCCTCAAGAGCTGGTTCTGGCCAGCTAAGTAGATTGCTTTTAAAAAAGGCTGGGAGTCTTTCCTAAATGCACATACTTATAACTGGATACTAACATTTATAGGTAAAGTTGATCCAGGGAATATCTGATTGCCTCAGGGAGGAATTTTTTTTCTCCTGCTGTAGAAAAATTGCATCATGCTTTGCTGGGGTTTTTTTTCTGCCTTCCTCTGGATCAACTGTGGCCATAGGATTGTATAAATGTTTTGTTTTTGCTTTCCCTTTTGCTTGAACTAGATGAGCTTGTATCTTTTTTCAACCAGACTAACTATGTAACTATTGTTATCACTTGTTGCTTCTTTGTATGCAGAAAATAATTTAGATTTGTTTTTCAATTAATTAACTACTACTTAGTGTTTTATGCAACCATTTTGTTTGGTAATTAAGAATCATGTTGTGTTTGTGTCTAAACATGGATGATTTCATCAGTATAACTTAATTTCAGTATTGTGTTTTACAAATGTATTAAAATAACATAGCCATAATCGTATCCTCTCCCATTCTCACACTTTAATCCCCTGTGAAATCAAGCATGCCATGTTTGCACTGATTGTCAAAGCCAGTAGGATCGAATGTATCAAATATGTGTCTGCTGAATCAGTAAACCTTGACCTCTACATTGGTTCCTGTTCTGCTCAAACTGTGTTACAAAGAAGAGTAGTGTAGCATAAAGAAATACACTGCTCAAAAAATTAAAGGAACACTTTGAAAACACATCAGATCTCAATGGAGAAAATATCATGTGGGTTATCTATACTGATATGGACTGGGTAATGTGTTAGAAATGTAAGGATGCCCCATCGTTTGATGGAAATGAAAATGATCAATCTACAGAGGACTAAATTCAAATATATCCCGAAAATCAAAGTGAAAAAATGATGCAGCAGGCTAGTCCATTTTGCTGAAATTTCATTACAGCAACTCAAATTGGTACTCAGTAGTTTGTATGACCCCCAAAGTGCTTGTATGCATGGCTGACAACATCGGGGCATGCTCCTCATGAGACGACAGATGGCGTCCTGAGGTATTTCCTCCTAGATCTGGACCAGGGCATTACTGAGCTCCTGGACAGTCTGAGGTGCAACCTGGCAGTGTCGGATGGACTGAAACATGATATACCAGAGGTATTCTATTAGATTTAGGTCAGGTGAGCGTGGGGGCCATTCAATGGTATCAATTCCTTCACCCTCCAGGAACTGCTTGCATACTATTGCCACATGAGGCCGGGCATTGTCATCCACCAGGAAGAACTCAGGACCAACTGAACTAGCGTAGGGTCTGACAATGGATCCAAGGATTTCATCCTGATACCCAATGGTAGTCGGGGTGCCATTGTCTAACCTGTAGAGGTCTGTGTGTCCCTCCATGGATATGTCTCCCCAGACCATCACTGACCCACCACCAAACCGGTCATGCTGAACAATGTTACAGGCAGCATAACATTCTCCGCCACTTCACCAGACCCTTTCACGTCTGTAACATGTTCTCAGGGTGAACCTGGGAAAAGCACACTGGCGGACCTGCCAATTCTGGTGTTCAATGGCAAATGCCCTAGAGCTCTATGGTGCCGGGCAGTGAGCACAGGGCGCACTAGAGGATGTCGGGCCCTCAGGCCACCCTCATGAAGTCTATTTTGTATTGTTTGATCAGAGACATTCACACCAGTGGCCTGCTGGAGGTCATTTTGTAGGGTTCTGTCAGTGCTCATCCTGTTCCTCCTTGCACAACAGAGCAGATACCAGTCCTGCTAATGGGTTAAGGACCTTCTCAGGCCCTGTCCAGCTCTCCTAGAGTAACTGCCTGTCTCCTGGAATCTCCTCCATGCTCTTGAGACTGTGCTGGGAGACACAGCAAACCTTCTGACAATGGCACGTATTGATGTGTCATCCTGGAGGAGTTGGACTGCCTGTGCAACCTCTGTAGGGTCCAGGTGTCGCCTTATGCTACCAGTAGTGCTACTCACGCTAGACAAATGCAAAACAAGTGAAAAACAGTCAGAAAAGATGAGCAGGGAAAAAGATGTCAGTGGCCTCCACCCGTTAAACTACTCCTGTTTGGGGGGTCATCTCATTGTTTCCCATCTAGTGCACCTGTTGTTAATTGAATTAACACCAAACCAGCCAAAACTGATTAACAACCCCCTCTGCTACTTAACTGACCAGATCAATATCCCAGGAATTTAATTGACTTGATGCTATACTATGATTAAAAAGTGTTCCTTACATTTTTAGAGTAGTGTATATACATGTTATCCATATACACTATAGAAATAAAAAAAAGGAAATAAAAGGAAAGGTTATGCTATGAAACTTTTCTCCTAGATTGCAGGTGGGTAGTTTGGTAGAGTTTACCTCTGAACTTCTCAGCTATGAGGATTCAGTTTAAGTTTTAGGTGAGATTGGTGTTGAAACAGCACAAGAAACACTGGTATAGAAAATATCTGGGAAAATGTTTGGGAAATATGCTTAAGTGTGAATTGGTCATTATACGAGAATTCTTTAAAAAGTTTCTGCACTTTTTTTTAAATGTATAAAAGTGCAGAAACCTTTAAAAGACCCCTCATACTAATAAAAAAACATAAAAACAGCCGTATGATCCTCATCACTTATGCTATGTTATGTTAAGATGAACATATACCAACTAATTTGACATGATTGTTCAGTGGCCTCTGTCAGATCTATACCAGGATTACAGAGTATGGATCGGGGGCGAAATGACCATTTGAAAACTCGGGCACTGCCCAAGGGCCCAGGGTCAGTAGGGGGCCCCATGAGATGCCCCTGGTACCTTTTTCATAGGCTTTTTTGAGTTTGGGCAAGGACCCAGGGGCCCCATGATCCCCTATTGCCCGGGGGCCCCATGAGTTGTCAGTCTGCCCCTGGTATGGATATTCAAAGAGCAGTCTCACTCCTCTCCAGTGTTCAAAGTCCAATATCAGTACTAGTGTTGCTGTTCATGTAAAAGTGAAATTATCCCCAAATATCATGTGTTCAATTTAGTAATGTTCAAATCAAACAACTGCAATATCCATGGCAAATTTTGTGCAGCATCCTATTATGCCCTAGGCCTCTGAATCAGCTAACCAGCTGCCAGGGACACGCAAGAAAATGAAATTGCATGTGGTGAGAAACATGCCTACTCATCAAGTAATCTCCAGACACTATGTTTATGGTGACAAGTGTCCTATTTTATTCTTCTGCACACCTGGTTTATGGCTGGTTTATGGGTCCAAGAGTGTTTAAATACCAGATAATAAAGACTCCATAGATAACAGGATATCTAAGATGGACTAGTGGCCGAAGATTACAGGACAAGAGCTATAGATGAAGTCTCAACCTTCTCTTCTTCAAGTGTTCTATCCAGAAAGGTGTTCAGTGCAGTTGGAGACTAACAAACGCATCTGCCTGTCTGCAGGAAATGGTGACCACCTGAAATTTAATAAAATGAGCCAGGCTTGGTTCTTACAGTTGCAAGAAAAAGTATGTGAACCCCTTGGGATTACGTGGAGTTTTGCATGAATTGGGCATAAAATGTGCTCTGAACGTCATCTAAGTCACAACAATAGAAGACCACAGTCTGCTGAACATAATACTACACAAACATTAGATGTTGCCATGGTTTAATTGCACATAACATGTAAACATTCACAGTGCAGGGAGGAAAAAGTATGTGAACCTTTGGACTTAATAACTGGTTGACCCTCCTTTGTCAGCAATAACCTCAACCAAACATTTCTTGTAGTTACAGATCAGACCTGCACAACGATTTGGAGTAATTTTGGACCACTCCTCTTCACAAAACTGTTTCAGTGTAGCAATATTCTTGGGATGTCTGGTGTGAATCGCTCTCTTAAGGTCATGCCACAGCATTTCAATCAGGTTGAGATCAGGACTCTGACTGGGCCACTCCAGAAGGCGTAATCTGTGCTGTTGCAGCCATTGTTTTGTTGAATTACTTGTATGCTTTGGGTCATTGTCCTGTTGCATCACCCATCCTCTGCGGAGCTTCAGTTGGCGGACAGATGGTCGTATGTTTTCCTGCAAAATGTCTTGATAATCTCTGGAATTCATTTTCCCATCAATGACAATCCGTCCAGGCCCTGAGGCAGCAAAGCAGCCCCAAACCATGATGCTCCATCCGCCATGTTTTACAGTGGGGATGAGATTTTGATGTTGGTGTGCTGTGCCTTTTTTTCTCCACACATAGTGTTGTGTGTTCTTCCCAAACAACTCACTCTTGGTTTCATCTGTCCACAGTATATTTTGCCAGTAGTGCTGTGGAACATCCAGGTGCTCTTTTGCAAACTTCAAACGTGCTGCAATATTCTTTTTGGACAGCAATGGCTTCCTCCGTGGTGTCCTCCCATATACTCCATTCTTGTTTAATGTTTTCCTTATTGTAGATGTGCCAACAAAAATGTTAGCATGTGCCAGAGATTTCTGTAGGTCTTTAGCTGACACTCTGGGATTCTTCTTTACCTCATGCAGCATTCTGCGCTGTGCTCTTGCAGTCATTTTTACAGGACAACCACGCCTAGGGAGAGTAGCAACAGTGCTAAACTTTCTCCATTTGTAGACAGTCTGTCTTACCATGGACACATGAACATCAAGGCTTTTGGAGATACTTTTGTAACCCTTTCCAGCTTCATGCAAGTCAACAATTCTTGATCGTATGTCTTCTGAGAGCTCTTTTCTGCAAGGCATGGTTCACATCAGACAGTGCTTCTTGAAACCAGTAAACCCAAAACAGGTGTGTGTTTTTTTAAGGGCAGGACAGCTGTCAGCAACACATTCAATATCATCACACTGATTGGAGTCAAGGTGGGCTCACTCCTGGCTCCAATTAGCTCTGGGAGAAGTCATTAAGCTAGGGCCTCACATACTTTTTCCTCCCTGCACTGTGAATGTTTACATGTTATGTGCAATTAAACCATGGCAACATCTAATGTTTGTGTAGTATTATGTTCAGCAGACTGTGTTCTTCTATTGTTGTGACTTAGATGACGTTCAGAGCACATTTTATGCTCAATTCATGCAAAACTCAACGTAATCCCAAGAGGTTCACATACTTTTTCTTGCAACTGTATATGCCTTCCAAACACATAGCCTAGTCTGTCTGTGATGGAACATATACAATATTTACAAAAATAAGAGCAAACACTGTTCCTCTTAGGTGCTGGTGGAGGTGCTGTCTCTGCTACTGCTGCCTTCATATTCCTCTCTCTATAGCATATCTATAATAATTCTAGTTTCTGAAAAAATTATGCTAGCCACCATTTCTGGAGCCAACCTAGCTAATTCCTGGCACAGCATCCTTCCAAACCATCACTCTCCCCTCCTGTCCTCTGCATATAACAAAATGAAGTAATACAAATAGAGATAGATAAAGAAATATATTAAAAATAAATAAAACCAAAGAGCTACATTTAAAAACTCTGAAATGTAAAACTTTTAAAATGTAATTTCCTTTTTTTGGAAGCACAAAGGGCTAAGAGTTATGGAACCCCACATCCCATCCTATTGGACTCCCAAAGGCTAAATACTTATCTTCATTCTCTTTCTTGAAAACAATTCAAGCCAGGCCCTGCACTTGATGGGCATGCACACTGTGCAGTGCAGTGTACTGTAGATGCACACCAATATAGAAATAATACAAGTTTTATATAAGAAGAGATTAATAACAGTACATACATCCATGTATGGACAGATATCAGCAATGGGCCCGATTGGAGTCCTGGTGGAATTGTGTACATATACCCAGGGAAATGTAGTTAATAGAGAAACCTCCAGAAGAATGTTGAAGGAAAGTCTAGTTGTAGGGACACCTGAGAACGATGCTGTGTCTTTCTTTGTGTCAGAAATCTGAAGGCAAGATCTGCTGTCTTATCGAGATCCTCCATCTGTTGTCCAACCAGCATGCAATGAAGCTTCTCACCGAATGGAACTGTGGCACTGCAACTCAGAATCAACCTATCTACTTTGTGATTCAGTCCCTCACTAATAGTTTCCAATCTAATATGCCACCAGACCTCTAGGCCTAGGATCCTGAAGTGACCAGATGCCTAACCTGACTCTAGCTTAAGCAGGCTATCAAGCCCTAAGCTACAACTAGCTATTGAATCCCAGGCCAGAAGGGACAGGGTTAATTAAAATAACTGGAGTTGCATATAAATTATATTGCAATAAACAGGTTCACCTACTAATATACTGGAAGATGTCCACTACAAATGCAGTAACACAGGCTTTCCTGTCTGTACACTACAGAATTATATATATATATATATATATATATATATATATATATATATATATATATATATATATATATATATACACACACACACACATTATAAATAAATAATTTTACATTCAGAATATATAAACTTGGGATGAACACCTCTGATAAATCAAACAGCAGCTTAAGGGTGAAACACACAGAAAACGTTCGTTTTCTATAACGTTTCATAAATGCATGCAAAGGTGATGAGTTCTAACAATATCAATAAAGAACATGCTTTACAAATATTACAAAAAAAAATCTGCTGTCATCCTCTGGTCTGTGCTGCAGGTGTCAACAAAGGTTAATTCTCAGTGATGAATAATTAATGTGAGAGAGGTATTTGATGTGCTCTTGTGTGGCAGGATTCAGAGCACTTGCTGAACTTTAAACTGATTTGCGTTTCACTGATCTTTACTTTTGAAGATTCTCCCTTGGCAGTCTATAAACCCTTTAGTTAAAAAGCTCAAACACTGCCCTCTAATACAACAGAGTGTTTTTTTAAATGTGGAGAGGACAAAACACAAGTGAAGTTACCATAATTTGTGGAATATATGGCACATTAATAATTCCTTCTCTCAGTTCTTATTAATGTTTTGGGTAATCTGTTTGTGGCTTTGAGTCTGGGGTAGACAACTTCATGTAGAATTCCTAAATCAGTTGGCTCATTCTGAAAGCCAGCAGTCAGCGACATTGTACATTCATTTACTACATTAGACAAATATCATATGCCAAAATAAAAGTTGGAACATTTAATTACATTGCACTGACACTAGATCCTGAGATCTATCCACACCTGTGTTACCGTATATGATATAACAAATGACTGACTGAAGGCTAGAAGCCTGTTTATTATGTAGCCTGGATTGTCACTGGTTGCCACTGCAGAACCTTTTCTTTGCAGTACATTTCTCTTCCCCTACAGAATGGACAGATAGAGCACTAACCACATGCCACGTGGCCTTTAGTTAAATGACTATTCACAGGCTACACGGTGGTGAGATCTGTCACCCTCTGTGACCAATGGCCGATTGCAGCAGATTACATAACAATTGTACACAATGGATGGTGGTCATGTATAAAATAAATTTGAGTAGTGATGTATGGCTCTACCATATAAATCGAGACCCTGCTAAGCGATTATAGATTTCAAGACACTATGATGCATCAGTGATGCTTTGTTTTGTAGAATGACAGCTAAAGATAAACTCAAGGTAGATATAAAATATTTATTCCAGCAATGGGTTCTTTAAAAAATAATATTTTTTTTTAAAGGTAGCATAAAAACTTGAACCTCTCTTTATATTAGGTTCCCATTATTCCTTTTAAAGTAGACAGAGTGAAGGGCAGCACTAAGGGCAGTCAGGCTTTTACACTGCCCAGTGTTATCAGTCTTCATCTGTTATGGTACTGACAGCAGGAGAAAAACAGGGAGTGATGACCTTATCAATTGGTTGATGCTCTTTCAATGTCCAATTAGATGGCTGGACTGATTAACTGCAGTGGAGAAATTTTGGGTCAACAAGTTGCCTTTGATGTCTGGCAGAGAATCTTAGATCAC